TATTTCAATTTATTATTCAATATGCAGTTGCGTATAACCAAAGTTTACATAATAAATGTAAACTTTAGTGTAAATCTAAACTTTGGTGTAACCTAGGTAGGCACTTATTGTTTTTGAGAAAGCAATACTTATGTTTTTTACGTGTTTAAAATGCCAGCACGAGTAAAACAGCATTCATCCGTCCAGAGCACTTTGTTAATAAAGTTCTGCTGCACTTAGGAACCAATTGCAAAATTCAAGACGATTGGGGAAATCAGCTGCTTCTAAAGCTTGAACTTTTTGAAAATGTGTTATGTTAACTCCTTTGCGGGAAAAATGCGGGAGATATGGAGGGTAGTAGATTTGAATAAACGCTTTAAATTGTTAGGTAATGGTTTTGTAACCGTGTGTAGTGTATTTTGTATATTCGTGTATTTAGTGTGCCGACTTTTTTTATTTGATAAAATACAGTGTGCCTACAAACCTCTGCCACAGAGTGTGCCTCTGCTTTATTTATTTTCTTTTAACGAAAGTTGACTTCGAGAAGTCAGGCTTGTTAAAACATTTTGCACTAAATTATTAAAATTAGTTAATAATAAAATGCAGCATGATCCTTTATTTACTTGCATTTCATTGGTTTCATACATATGTATCCGTATACTAAAGCGGATTAATTAAATGTGAACACAGATTACGATGTGAACTCGGCAACGCTGTTCGCTTCAGCTGACGATTTGTTCGTGACATTACGTTACAAAATTTTCCGAGCATCCGGGCATCTGGCAGGACCGCCTTCTTAGCGGGAGTTATGCGTTGATTTCCTTTATTTTTAAAAGTCGAGTAAAATTTTTTTTTCCGATTTTCTGTCTTTATTAATGACCTTAATAAGTCTTCCGAATGATAAGTCTTCCGAATACGTGATTAAAATTAATGACATTATGACTGAATCACCCTGATATCCCCATTTTCAATCACCCATTATATTGGATAATTTTAATATAAAACAGTCATTCACATTTGAATTCAAGGTTGAAAATAGAATCAACAAAGTGAAAAAGGTCTTTTTTTTAAGAATATCTTTGGATTCGGCATTAACCGCCATTTTTCTTTATTTTCAATATTTTTAGCAATTAATTTTGTTAAAGAAACAAAAACCACGAAGGAAATAAATATTGATGCTTCTTAGTTCTGCTCAAATAGCGTAAAACTAGTCGAAACCTGGTCAGATAACGAGCACTCTACCTAAAATTTGCAATTTAGTTTATTAGATGGATAGGATTCGTATCTTAGCATATTACTGGCTAATATATTAGCCCATTGCATTATGTATTGCTTTCTTTAACATTATTTTTTACGATTCCCCAGGTAGGAGCTATAATTGGTAGACAGGGTTCAACGATAAGGCAGATAACACAACAGACCAGAGCGCGAGTCGACGTACACAGGAAAGACAACGTGGGCTCGTTAGAGAAAGCCATCACGATCTACGGCAACCCGGAGAACTGCACCAACGCCTGCAAGCGGATCCTGGAGGTTATGCAGCAAGAGGCTAACAATACGAACAAGGGGTGGGTGAGAAAGGCGGTTTATTGAGTCGGATGCGTGATTCTTTAACTTTTCAGAGAGATTTCGTTAAAAATCCTGGCCCACAACAACCTCATAGGCAGAATAATAGGCAAGGGCGGCAACACGATCAAGAGAATAATGCAGGAGACCGAAACGAAGATCACGGTCTCGAGCATAAACGACATAAACTCCTTCAACCTGGAGCGGATCATCACGGTGAAAGGTTCGATAGAGAACATGAGCCGGGCGGAGGCTCAGATCAGCGCTAAGCTGAGGCAGAGCTACGAGAACGACCTGCAGGCCATGGCGCCCCAGACGATGATGTTCCCCGGACTCCATCCGATGGCTATGATGGCCACCGCAGGTAAGCTTCCAGCCAACATTTTTATACTTAGGGGTTTTCGACAACGCTGACATATTTTTGTGGATTTGTTATTTTCAGGGACGGTGTTTTCTTTTAAGCACCTTTAACTGTATTTAATAAATATTTTTGCATGAATCTTGATTCGATTTCAAGAGAGATATGACAGTTTGCATTAAAAGGGTATTTTCTGTGCACATGTGGCAAAAATTTATAGATTGAATACAAAAAAAGTATTTCAAATGGATAGATAAAAACAGTAAAAACCAATCTTCTAGAATATTTGGTGTACATATCAAAGAAATGTAGCTAATTAAACGTGTTAAGTCTATGCTTTTATGATGCCATAAAATTCTTTAAATCATGTAACATGTGCCCTTTTCAGTATGCATCTTATATTTGTGTTGAAAAAATGTTATCAGAGCCTGCATTTTTAAATTATTTATTTTTTTAAAATCTTTTGTCTATTATAAAACAATTATCATTTATGATGAAATTGTTAAACTAATTTATACCTTTTCAACTTTTCACTTTCCATTTTACAAATGTAGAAAAGCGAAGAATAATTTTGTTTTATAAAAAAATGTACTTTACATAAATGCATTTTAACAAGCTCCATTTTCACTGTGCAGATGACCAACTGTTTTTTGAATATTAATTTTGAAAACAGAAAATAGCCAGAAAAGTTGAAAAGTACTTACAAAAAACAGGACCCTTTTGGAAACAGGAAACTTTTGGCGGCACAATATGTTAAAAAAATCGAAAAATGTCATATTTTTCTTCCTATTTAATTATGTATCTTTTCAACAGTTGATTTTAGGCGAAAATGAAAGAGGAAAAAAATGTAATTAAGTTTTACAAAATATGACTAGTTACAAATCGAATGAATCATGATTATTATTGTAAATATCGAAAAAATCGCCAAATATGGGCTTAAAAACCATTATTTTTTAGGGAATTTTTTGGGGTCTTTAAGTTGGGTATAGTACCTTCATACCTGGCTCAAGAAAAGTTCATGTTATGTAGAATCATCACACCAAATTTCATCAAAATCGGTCCGACAGATTTTGCATAATAATTTTGCAATCCATATTTTGAAAAAAAAATTGCAAATTTTCAAAATTTTGCACAGCAAAAACCAAGGCCCTTAGATACTTGAAAATTTAATCACATATAGAAGGGCTCTCAAGCTTTCAAACGCTTTTTGAAAAATTCGAATCCGTCAATTAGGAGAGCTCTGGCGCTTGTTTAAACATTGGTCGAATTTTTGTACTATAATTTTGTATTTTTGTAATATAATGAGTTAATTTCTCATTTGCTTATATTTTAAACAGTAAATAATATTTGAATTATACTTTAATCACAAAAGAAATGATGATTAAATTAATAATTAATTAATTAATTACTAATTTTCGACATATTTTGAAAATAATTGTTGTTTAAACAATTTTAGAATATTTAAATAAATTTGTTTTTGATCCTTGATAAACAGTATATAAGTTTTAAGCACTTACCTTTGATACAATAAAAAAATAAAGTTGATAATTAAAGGAAGTTTAAAGATAAATAATTATCAGACTGTTGAAAGACCAATAATTATTAATGATGCATTTGAACGTACGCTAACTGTTTTTTTTTAATCGCAAGGCATCGATTTAAAAAAAACATGAAAATCAGACCTCTAGAAGCCGAGATATTAAACAATTTTTTCAGCTTTAAAAAAATTGGTTTGATTGAATATTCACAAAGTTATTCTAATTGTTTATAAGTTCAAAAATTGGACCAATGTTTAAAAAAGCGCCAGAGCTCTCCTAATTGATGGATTCGAATTTTTCAAAAAGCCTTTGAAAGCTTGAAAGTCCTATATGCGATTAAATTTTCAAGTATCTAACTAAGGGCCTTGGTTTTTGCTGTGCAAAATTTTGAAAATTTGCAAATTTTTTTTCAAAATCTGGATTGCAAAATTATTATGCAAAATCTATCGAACCGATTTTGATGAAATTTGGTGTGATAATTCTACATAACATGAAGTTTGTTGAGTCATATTTTGTAAAATTTAATTAAAATATTTTTATCCTCTTCCATTTTCGCCTAAAATCAACACTTGAAAGATACATAATTAAATAGGAAGAAAAATATGACATTTTTTGAATTTTTTAAACATATTGTACCGCCAAAAGTTAAGTACACGTTTTTTTTATGCCCATAGAAAAATTTTAATTTCTAGTGATATTTGAAAGCCAAAAAGCCAAAAATCTCTGTGGATATACGTTTCACCCAAACCAAAACAGATACCGCCTAGTCTATTAGGATAGACCAGGAAATATTCTATCTTGAGATATTACATCCGACTTTATTACCCACAGGAATAGGCTACGGATCTAGGGGGCTGTACTCGGGTCAAGCGCCATATCCGGGAATGTATCCCGCTGGGCCTTCGCAGGGCGGAGGCGACACCCAAGAGACTACCTACCTGTACATACCGAACAACGCTGTGGGGGCAATCATCGGTACCAAGGGGTCGCACATAAGGAACATCATCAGATTTTCCGGCGCCTCCGTCAAGATAGCCCCCCTGGACGAGACCAAACCTCAGGAAACGCAAAACGAACGACGAGTTACGATCGTCGGCTCCCCCGAGGCACAATGGAAAGTGAGTAGTACCCAAATTTTGCATACTTAGATGCCAAGATAAAAACTTTAGTTAGGACGTATAAGTTTGTTATCTCAAATTCCATTGTGAAATATGAAGATATTAAATTTTTTTTTTGTAATTTTCATACCTCGCCTTTTTACCGACTAGTGTAACCTCGTACAACCGCGTATGCTAGTTGCCAGTGCATACTATGGACGATTTCGATTTTTTTTTGTTCAAAATCGTAAATATCCGAGAAAGTGAGCTATCAATGCACATTTTTTTTTAAATTAAAGCTAAACGTTTGTAGATTTGAGGTAAAATAATCCCCCCTCCTGGGGGGTGTCATGAAGGGGAAGGGGTGGGAAAATCGAAACTTTTTATTTTTCACTGTATTTCGACGTTATTTTCCAAAAAAATGGTACATAAGAGTGGATATTGATACCTACCAGTCCCTGACCGACAAAGCTAAAAAAAAATTCCGATTTGTATACGATTTACCCTTATCCAGAGGTTAGGAATTTGGAATAACGGGGTAAATGTGAAAAAATGAGAATAGAAATTTTAAATACCTTTTTGAAACATTGAAAAGTATTCTAATAACTAATTATATGAATCCTTTATTGGACAAATAAGTCTCGTGGTACCACCTCCCTAATAGGAGTGAAAATGAAAGGGGAGGGGGTTGAAATATTGAAAAATCATGAGAAACCTCTTATTTGGTTTTGACGATCGCTGAACCCGATTCTGATGGAAGTTTTTGCATTCCTCTTATACTTTATCCAGATTTTTTGACCATAACCCCCTCTATTAGAAGGTGAAATTGGAGAGGGGAGGATTGAAATATTTAAAAATTTTAAAACGTCTTAAATCTTTTCATTAATGATGTATTTATCCTACGTTTCATATTTAGAAATAGTTTTTTTTTCATAAAAGCTTTTTGTTATTTGTTCATAAAACTTAATTTTGGATAAGAGTTAATTGTATACAAATCGGAATTTTTTTTTAGCCTTGTCAGCCAGAGACTGGTAGGTATCAGTATCCACCAATAGGGTGGATACCTTTGGGATTATTTTTCCTCAAATCTACAAACGCTTAGCTTTAATTTAAAAAAAAATGCGCATTGATAGCTCACTTTGTCTCCGAGATTTACGATTTTGAACAAAAAAAAATCGAAATCGCCCGTAGTGGTGCATATCCATATGGCATGCAATGTTGTCAAATCTCACCTTTATTCGTACACGTTTTTTCTTAATATCACACAGAAATTTGACAAGGAAGACACATAAACACACCGTACGATCACTGAACTTTAAAATAAATAATTTTAGAAGATTCTATTTCGATTCCAGTAAAAAGCAGTATTTCACGCAAAAAGTCCCGAAATTACCTGCTGTATCGCAAACACTTTCACATAAACCAAACTAAAATAAATGCATAATAAAGTTGTGACAAATTCCGCCATTTTGTAATTATAATTTTTTTTTTTCACAGGCACAATATTTAATTTTCGAGAAAATGAGAGAAGAGGGCTTCGTGGCGGGCTCGGACGACGTCCGGCTGACAGTAGAGATCATGGTGCCCAGCTCCCAAGTGGGCCGGATAATCGGGAAGGGAGGACAGAACGTCCGCGAGCTGCAGCGCGTCACGGGCAGCGTCATCAAGCTACCGGAGCAGGGCGCGTCGCCCCAGGAGGACGAGACCACAGTTCATATCATAGGACCATTCTTCAGTGTTCAGGTTGGTATCGGTGAATATTTAAGACATCCGGTAAGCGTTGTAACGGCAGATTTTGCAGAACTTTTCCTAAAGGTATTTTCAATTTTTTTTTCCAAGTAGGCATAACAAGAGACCATTAAAAAAACTAGCATCATTTGGCAGTAGAAATTTCTTTGTTTGGTTTCATGTAAATTTATTAATTAGTTGTTATCTTGAAAAAAAAGTGCAATTTACAGGATGCTGGGAATTCTTTGAAGTTGCGTATTATTAGCATAAGAAGGAAGGAAGTGTGTAATATCTCAACCGCTCATTAATTTTACAGATTACTGCGAATAGGAAGATAAGATCGGTGATAAAGCGAGTTTTACTTTTTAATCAATCGATCGATCATATTAGTCAGGGCCGGTGCCAGGATATTTGTCACCTGAAGCAAATATTTGCTTGCCCCCCTAAGAAAAAATATATACAAGTTACTACTGTTGGAACAAATAACAAAATTAATAAAAAGTTATAAAGAATAAAAAAAACATTTCAATAGACAAAAATAAATAAAAAAATATTTTAGCAAAAAAACAAACAGAAATTATAAGAAACATCGTATAAAAAATAAAACAGATATTCCAATAAAACCAAAAATAAAAAATATTCAATAAAAACAAAAAAGAAACTAAACAATGTCAAAACAGGTTCTTTACACATATCACATATCAACTTTTCTACATTTTTCATTAACAAAGTCTTCAATAATATAATCGTAAATCAAATTATTTGTTATATCTCTTGATAGCAAGAATGGCTGTCTGTTAACCGTTCCTGCGCCACGGTTAATCGTAAATAATTTTTTATAATTTTTGATTTTGAAAAAGAACGTTTTCAAAATGTCAGACAAATAACACTCACTAGTTCCACTTAAAACTCAGAAACGAGAGATAATTTTAACTACCGATTGTTGCATTTCATCTTTTAAGTGCGTTGACATGTTTAGTGCGAGTAAACCGAGTAAACGAATAAGTGCAAAGTATGGATTAGAATATGTAATTCAGTGAAAATAAGCCGAATAATTTCGTGTTGTTTTTTTTATACTTTAACTTTGATGATGTACTTCCTAGGAAAAATTAATGCACCAACTTAAAAAATTTATATTTAAATATCAGTTGTCTGAAAATCACGTGTCCCCATTTTTTCATTCATAACTTTGGCAAAGGATAAAGCTTGTAAAAATAATGGGCATGTTTCTTATAAGAGATTTCTTTAAAACGTGTTCTTCTGATACGTTGACTTGGTTATGGGATTTTGTTCGCATTTAAACCCTCCGTAAACTCTACGTCGATGGCAGAACATATTTTTTTCGGTTATTAAGATATTAAATCTTGATACTTTTTTTTAGAAAAATATATTCCCGAGAAAAGTCGTTAGGAATCTCTATTTTCTTATTTAATTACATACATATTTACTAAAAATTTTAGGATTAATTAAACATTGCAAGTTTGTAAGTTTTTAACAACAATAATTGAGAAAGGTCATGTCGTTGACACATATTTATACAAACACATTTGTTGAAACACTTACAGTTGAAAAAAAAACTTTTAAAGTTGAAAACTAAGAAAACACCCTGCATATTAAAAACTGCAGGTTACTTTCTCACTCATTTCGCTTTATCCTACGATTTTTGTCACAAGGTTTTTGTGTTTGCAACATATTCTGAAGTCGACTTTTTTGCATTCTTCTGCATATTTCCCTTTTTAGACGGCTTTCACACTTGCAATTTAGCTTTCTTTACTACAGCGGATAATTTCCAGAAATCGAAACTTGGATTGAGAGGGATGGAAACGAGATGGATGTCTTTTCGATGGAAGTTGACTAAAAATTCTTCGAAAAATCAAAATAAAAAATAAAATGTTGTACTTGGGCACATTTTTGGGTCTCTCATCTAAAATAACGATCGCCATTAATTTTAATCCAATCGCAAACTGACTAATCATCATGCCGTTGATAGCATGATGATCGTTGCGAATTGTTCAACACATTTTTCCTTAAATTCCTTATAATTTACTTGGTTTAACGTAGCATCTGTCTTAAAAAAATGTAAGCATCTTCTGTCAATCTAAAATTTAATAACACAGCCACACAAAAAAAAAGTCTGTACTTTTTGTGCAATATATGTTATACATAGTATTTTTGCCTCCTGATCACGAATCCGGCATCAGAATTGAGCTATCACATCACAGGAATTTCCTAACCTCAAGAAACAGGTCAAAAATAGCAAAAATTCACGAAAAAGGACTAGGAAAAACACAAAATAAATTCGTTTCTATATTCAAATATTCATTAATATGGTCAAGACCCCGCCGAACGTGAATCCGCGGTCAGAATTGATGGTTCTTTTTCTAACCTAAAAAACGAGTCAATTAAGGTCAGATATCACGAATTTTCAAAAAATAACAGATTCGCGCCAAATTTAGTATACGTAGGTTTTCGGGGTCGCTGATCACGAATCCGAGGTCAATTTTGCAAAATTCAAGATGGCAAACTAAATTTTCAAAAAATAACACGTTCGTGCCAAATTTGGAGTACGGGGGTTTTCGGGGTCACTGATCACGAATCCAAGATCAAATTTAAAAAATTCGATACTCAGGTTATAAAGTAAACAGAAATATTACAAAATGATTTCGCAATTCTTACCTTGAATTCGTAATCAGCGACCCCGGAAACCCCCAAATTACCCAAATTTGACATGAATGTTATTTTTTGAAAATTTGGTCTGCCGTCTTGGATCCGCCATCTTGAATTTTGCAAAATTGACCTCGGCTCCGTGATCAGGGACCCCGAAAACCCCTGGATACCAAATTTGGCGCGAATCTGTTATTTTTTGAAAATTCTTGATAACTGACCTTAATTGACCCGTTTTTTTAGGTTGGAAAAAGAACCATCAATTCTGACGCGGATTCACGTTCGACGGGGTCTTAACCATATAAATGAACATTTTAATATAGAAAAAAAAATTTGTGTTTTTCCTTGCACTTTTTTGCGAATTTTTTCTATTTTTGACCTGTTTTTTGAGGTTAGGAAATTCGTGATCAGGAGGCAAAAATACTACGGATAACTATGTCGCATGAAAAGTACATACAACTTTTTGTTGTGTGGCTGTGTAATATTTAATTAGTTTTTCCTCCCAATCATCCAACTTTGCTCACTTCTCGATTTTCTCAAAATATCTATAATATTTAAATATACCACATTCTATTTGCTATTTGCTTTTTTACTCTATTTGTACTCTTGTAAGTAGTTGTCTAATTCAAACAAATTTTTTTTTTCTAAACAATCTTAACAATAGAGTAAAAAATAGAGGGAAATAAAAATGCAAGATATTTCTTTGTCTGATTTCATTATTTACAATTTTTTCAATATATTAGGTACTTTTTGTATTACTTAATTATATTTATACATATCATTTTTAGTTTATATTTTCGATAATTATTTATTACTAATTGTTTACTAGGTATTGTTGTGGTATTCATTGCTAGTTCGGGCCTGTTGCCCATAGATAGTTGTTTCTCGCAATATGAACAGTTAGATATCTTTTGTATACCTAGATTTCTGGTATCAGAGATCATTGACTTTGTTTGATAAGGTTTTTTTCAGAACAAACGTTTTAATTTGTTTTTATTAAATACCTTTAAAATAAAATAAAAAATAACACATTATTGGAATCTAAACTAGTTGGAATTTTACTTTCTTCTTTTTTTATTAAATATTACTTGACACTTTTCTATAAACAAATAGATAATTATCTAACCAAAATTCCGGAAACTGAACCATTCTAAATAAAAAAAAACGCACTAAGATAGTCAAGATGACAAAAAAAAATAGGAGATGAAAACAATAAGATCCCTTGCTTCTTTTTTTTTGTCAAAAAATTATTACGGCAAATGCTCGCCAATAACACAAAAATTAATGTATTTAAAATCCCGTACATTTTTCTTTAGCCATCTCAAGTAGATTAAAAGAAAATTTTTAGTTTTTTCCATGTTCAGTTTGCGTCAGCTACACTGCGTGCCGCAGAGCGCCTCAAATTGAACATGTCTCATAAGAATAGCTGTAGCGTCGCTATTTTGTACTATTTACAAAAAATATTTATTTTTTGAAAACTTGAATACGTGGTTAATAACATCCTTGAATATTATTATCCTCTTACTTTTCCTTCCATTAAAAGAAAAATCAAAATTGTTTATAACCCTCAATTTAGTTTAATATTCAAGTTCCAATCCGACTGCTACCACCATTGTAATAAAAATGGTGATGTTAATTAGTCACTTTGAGGTTTCATGGTCTTGTAGTAAACAAAAATTAGTGATACATTAGAACAATTGTACGTATACTGGGTGTTAGAAATTCATATCGGGTGCTCAGATTATTAGCTTTGTCCTTATTATTCCTGTAGTAGGTATAGAGTGAATGCTATGTCTAGATCACTACGAATTTGTTTTCATAAATTCCTTTTTTTTAGAAAAAGGGAACAAATTTATTTCTAATTTGTTTCTCTAATTTTCGACTTTATATTTAGAGCAACATTTTCATTAAATGATTTGTAAATGGTTTATTCTAATATTAATTAACTTTTTTTTACAACTAATCAGTGATGGCTCGTCAGGTGACGCAAGTGACGCACCGCTTCACCTAAAATTTCCGTTTGGTTGCACAATTTAAAATTATTTTTAATTTTATATAAATTTACCTAAATTAAGTTATAATTCCATATTGAAAATGTATTATCTTTGTTTGTTTAATTGTGCGGTGAACGCCTTCTAAAAAAACATTGCCTTCGTTGAGCACAAACATCAACCTCGTACCGTACAACGTTTAGTATACGCAAGTGACGCAGATCGAAACAGTTTGAATTCCCCTTCTCTTCAAAACGTTGTTTACGCCGGCTGTCATGGCAACGAAGTGGCCAACATGGGAGAAATTTATGGTGTGGGGGAACGAGTGACGCAGATATTGAAGCAGCACTGTCATGTCATCGCCCATCGCCTGCCTTTAAACAGTTTATAGTGTTTATACAATACACGTCGCCCAGTGCACGATTATAACTTCTTAGTTAATATTTGTTTTTTATAATAATTGTAGAAATGTTTCCTATGTATGATCCAGTATGTATTTTATTGGAAGCGCCATTTTCCAGATGGAAAATTGAGGACAAGCCGAACTAATATTTATATTTTTTATAAAATCCAAATGAGGATCCTTCTCACGAACGTCAGTTTTCGGAAATATTGCAAATGCAACTAAAAATTTGGCCTTGAAAATTTGAATTTTTGCCTGCGCCGCTTTTTTTTCTTTTTAGTCAATCAATGAATATGCTTCACCTATTTTCAATGTCACGAACCGCCACTGCAATTAATTTTGGTACTTTGATAGTGTAACTACTATTGAATATTCGGCCTAATAGTAAGAATTTAGCCTAATGAGCAGAATATTTGTTACTAGCCGTTACCACCTTTTGTATTTTTGTGGAGACATGGTTTTTTGATTATTTCTCTTTGTTTCAGTCGGCGCAGCGACGTATCCGCGCCATGGTGCTGCAGTCGGTGGTGCCGCCGCAAGGGAGACCGCGCCAGCCGAAACCCCAGAAGGACCCCAGCCTGTCTGAAGCTGCTTCGACCGAACAACAACAGTAGTACCAGCTAGCATCGTTCACTGCCTGTGCATGGGTTTATGCATACCCTATTGTACACGAACATCTCGAGGCCTTCCACTAGCGCAATATCGTCCTTCCATTAGTCGAGCATAAGTGTCGTTGCACGAGGAATCATCATTACTTGCGGTTACGAGGAGTGCATTTCTTTTTCGGTGATGATCAGTTTACCGTGCAGGATGATGTTTTACACCAACGAAAACCAATTACTTTTATGTCGGTTCAAGTTTAATATGTTCTTCAATTTAAAGCGATTAGTTGCCTTTTTAAATGATTAAATGATAGTAGTAGTTATGTTGTTTCTTCGCAGTTTGTCGAGAATATTAGGATAGTGGAAAGTTTAGAGAACGGACTGGAATACGGTATGTTGAACTTTGTGCCCAATTACTACAATCTACCTCAAGAAATCAAAATATATTAGATTTTTATAGCCATAGAAATTTCCGTTATGTATACAGCAACCAACCATAGAAACCTCAGAGATACAACTACAGTTTTTATTATACATTTTTTACTTACACACTTAACGATTTATAATTTTTTTACTACAAAACTACCTGAACTTATGGACTACCAAAGATGTAACTGATTGTAAAAACGTGCGAACACGACTGGCGTTCATCCTTGTAGTACAGTTATCGTGTTCGGACGTGCGACCACTGGATTTTGACCACTCGACTTCGGCCCACCACACAAAAACAGATCAACCATGCAACAAAATTATCGAAAAACAAAAAAGTGAAAAAAAAAACAAACACATGAGAAAAATCGATCGATCGATCAGTCACCGTTACAAATCTTCTGAAGAGTCCCAACAGCACTACATCAAAAGGCGAAAAGTTCCTCTGCAGAAAGGAGCGGCGCGGGTCGCGACGGCCCGGTCCCCGCGGCCCGCGCCGCCGACTAACGTGGCTGTAAACGTTTTTTTGGGAGTGAATGTGAAAACAAGAGCTTTAAGGATATTTGATATATAAGTTACAGTGTATTGTTGTGCGTGTCGCAGACTGGCGGTGATGCGGGCGGGGGGACGCCCAGACCAATGGGGACTGTCACAGTGAGTGGCGCCCCGCCGCGAGTGCAACGATACCTCGGATACAAAACAAAAAAAAAACTATTTAAAAACGTGTGAATGTGAGAGACATTTTTTAACTATTATATTATTGTTAGGCGATTGTTAAAATAATGTTTTGAAGAGGGGCGCCCTGCGCGCGCCGCCCCTGAGATATTATTTGTTAGAAGGAGCGGGGCGGCGCGTCGCCGGTCCCGCAAGTGGTTGTTGCAGAATTAACACAGATGTAGGACAAGTAAGGCTCGGCCTTATAGCGACCTGATGCCTTGTGTCAAGGTCGGTCGTGGTCCCTGATAGTACAAACTTGGGAGGTATAGATGGGCCTGTTCGCGCCCTCCGGTGCTCGGCCACCGGGTATGTAAAAAAAAATATTTTTGATAAAAATTGTTTGTTGGGGAGGATATTTTTTGTTAGATTTTTAAAAATTTAAACGTTTAGCGGGGTCGCTATTTAAAAATTGTGAAAAAATGGATATATTATTATATGATATATATTTATTACTTTTATGTATAAAAGAAAATTTAAATTATTTGTACAGATTTATAAAGTGTGCCAAAGTGCAAGAATGTTACCAGAGAGCTGCTTTTATTTATAAAAACGTTAGAGTAAAGGGTACATGTATTTATTTCGGCAGATCGAGGTTCATAAATCAAGATTTGAAGCACTTGCCCATTACATTCGGGATTCTCTCAATACACACACTAACACACGCCAACGCAAAAGTGACGTTTTTTATGTTTTTTTTTAATTTTCGTTCGTAACTATTCGGATACAATCATACAATCGTACAAAACAAACGACTTCTAGTACAAACGAAGAGTCTAGTTGCAGACGTATCTAGTTGTTCAATCCATTATTTCACACAATACTCGTAACATCATCCAGTCGAAAAATAACAAACAAACAAAAAAATCTAACGCGTACACACTCGTCTTTCTCTACACGTCAAAATTATTATATCAAAATGGACAACTGAGCAAACCCTTGACCCCCCAAAACAAAGAGAAAATTACAAAAAAGCAGGCCGGCCAGGACAGCTCACCGACCACGCACGCATCCGCCGAATTTCCTTAAATTTCCACATTTCGAACTTCACCAGTCGGGGTTTTTGAAAACTTGTATTTTCGGTAAAGTGCGCTTCTCCCAAACAACCACGAAGGTCGATTGGCGTAGATTCAAAATTTTATAATTAAACGTATCGAACAAATTTATTGGCTCCAAACAATATTGATGCCAGAATATGACAATTGAGCCAAATATGCTCAAAATTGTTTCAGCTGCAATTAAAAAAAATATTTTTTTTATTTTCAAATTTAACATGATATACATGTTTTCAAAATAAAAAGTTACACCACTGGCTGAAATTACGTACATAATTTTATTGAAATTATACAAAATACTAAAAAAAAACAGTGTAATTAACAATTAACAAAAAAAAAAAAAGATTTTACAAGTTGTGAAGATGTTTTCAAGATATTTCCTATACAGGATGTCAAGCAAAATTATGGTCAATCTTGAATTTTGGTTGGACTAGCAGAAAGAATGTTGCAATTTTGTATAAATTTTTTTAAGATCACCCTGTAGTTAGCTCTTGGAGTTGAATTTTAAAATTTTTCCTTAAATTTGAATAATTTGGGGTAAAAGCCGCTTTGGAAGTTCTCATCGATCTTGGACCCCTAAAAAATTTATGGGTGTACTATTTTTTCGTCACTTTTAACATTTTCCTAGTTTCTAAGTGAAAAAGCCATTCTTGTTTGATACTGATACAATAAACCCTTTTCAAGATAAACGTGTTTATGTTATGCGTTTGTTACACGTGTAACGCGTTTATGCCATGTTGCATACTATTGTCGACGTATAATAACAAATACAAAAAAAAAAAAACAAAAATTAATCGTTTATGCAGCAAAATAGTATGGAATAGCGAAAGTTATCGTTTTTTGTATCCATAAAAAGCAAGTATATCTTTCTCACTTAAATTTGACAGTTTCAATAATGGTGACAAACATTAAAAAACTAGGCCTATAAAGAGTGACCGCAAAAATTGCTCGTTTTTTCATAATTCGCAGAGAATTAAAAAAAATACATAAAAATATTTTTTTGGTCTCAAATTACTCGTCGTAAAAAATTAAGATGAGCATAGCTTTTAGTTTTTTTGAAATTTTTCAAAAATCACCCCTATTTAGGGGTTGAAAAGATGCCCAAAATGAAGAATTAAATATTACCAATAAATATAAAAACTATTAGCATGTGAATTTTTCTATCGAATGATTCTTCATACAAAGATTTATTCTCATGACTGAAATAAGCATGTTGAATTAGAAAATCCACCCTTAAGCGCGCTCAGTGGGTGGAATCGTCCTCAAAAATAGAGAATATTGGATATAATTGTAAAAATTCCAAAAAAAAAATATATTAAGATAATTCATATGCTAATAGTTTTTATATCACTTGGTAATATTCAAATTCAATTTTTGGCATTTTTTCAACCCCTAAGTGATTTTAAAATTTTCAAAATACTAAATGCTATGCCCATTTCAGTTTTTTACGACAAGTAATTTGCGACCAACAACATATTTTTATGTATTTTTTTTAATTCTCTGCGAATTGTGAAAAAACGGGCGAAAATCTCAGGTTTTTTGCGATCAGTTTATGATTTTTAAGTCTCAATTTCAAAAACTAATAACTTCACAGGATGAGGCCGAATTAAAAAAATGTATACCAATATCGAAGAGTTGACCCACATTTTCCGAATACCCTGTATGTAATTTTGGCCGGTGGCGTAACATTTTTTAATTTTAAATAATTTATTAATTGGTTAACAAAAGTATTATTATTAATTTGAACTTAAACCTGTAATATATTTTGTTCAATTTTTATATTTTGGTCTGGTACCATTTGCTTTTCTTCCTTACAACATAATGTAAATTCTATAATTTTTTTTTTCAAAGTTCGCAGTATTTTAGAAAAATATTTGTCGGTGAACTTTAAACGTAATTTTTCAACGAGGTGTTCGGTCCTTGACGATATTTGGGTGAGGCGCGCCAACATAGTTTCAGTTCACCCGGGTGATTTATCTTAATGGTGGTTGACTCGGTCTGGCGCCTGTTGGTTTTTTGTTGGAAGACATCCATTTTAGAGCATTTCCAGATTAGATTTCGCAAAAAAAAAATGTTATCTGAGCTTCTTTTCAGCCCGACCCAGTACACGTAACGACTAAAACGCATATGAGAGTCATCATAGCTTTCATACACTAGTAACGGACCCATAATTAGTCGATTTAGTAAATAAATAGTTGGCCGCCCCAAGACGCGGCCGACGATTGGTATCAATATCAATGCTATATAAAACACATATATGTTATGGTATAATAGTGCCTAACCGACGTCCCGTTTACAGACTAACTCCGATCGGAATATTTGTCGAGAGCGAAAGGTCGGCCTCCTTCAGATGTTTATAAAGTTGTTTGTGACGTCGTGGCAAACTGTGGGCATTATAGATGTGAGATACATAAGTAAATGTTGTTGTAAAGTTGTAACCGAGGCGATCTTTTGCATGTTCAGTTCAAATTTCGTTTCTTCGTTAGAACATTAACCTTAAATGTTGTATGTCAATATGTAATATCTGTTTGATGGCGAACGGTCGGATTTGTTCACGTAAATGGGATCAAATATCTATAGTTATAGTTTTGAATTATAAATGCATTTCATAATTATTTCATTATAAGTTTGTAGATTAAAAACCGATTTCTGGAAAACAGCTAATGACAGAGGCTACATCCCAATTTAGCTATTGGGAGGCACCCCCACGTCGCGGCGTCCTCTTCATGGGCAAACAACGTATCCATTTAAATATCACCAAAGCTATAGATTATAAAACGGTAACCGGCCGATATTGTTTACTGGCATTGTTTTAATTGTTAGGCTTGCAGCAGTCACGACCGGTAACGATTTTTTTTTATGGTTTTAATGCTTAGCAGCATGGATAATTGTGTTTCTAACAAACACTGCAATTGTTCATGTTATTTTATTAATTGTGTTGTTTATTGATTGAATTGTTCAAAGGCCGGTGACCTGTTGTATGAGTAATTTTTGCTGGTGCTAAAAATACGTTGGCAGGCGAAAAGCTTCGACGGGAGGGACGGCGACACAACGGGGTGCCTCTTGGTTTACAAGAAATCAGAGTCATTCTATAGTATAGTACATGTATAATTCTTCATCTGGTAAATTTTATAGTTTTGTCTTTATTTGAGTGTATGATTATTTTGAAACACTATAGTTTATAGTTCATGTTAATACACACGATGCTGGACGGAGACTGATGTGCAAACCAGCCCGCTGTAGAATTAGTACCTTAGACCCGGATAACTGTACGGTTTCCAGCCAGGTTCATAAAGCAAACTTGTTGCACAATAGTTCTTTTTCTAATGCTGAGACACGACACTTTACCGTTTAGTATTGTACACTATCCGATCTAAGAAGATAACTACCTCAGTAATTATATATTTCTATAAAATTAATTTGTTGTTCATGTTTTAATTGGGTATCAATATAAGTTTATATTTTACTGGTGAATGCTATTTGTACAACACGGTTCTATTAGTAAATAGTCCAAATTTTCGTGTCAGTGTGCCATTGTTTTTATATCGTGATGCGACGCATTAACTGTATGCTTCTATGGCTGTTCTGGGTATTAACTACTATTTTTTCAGGTGCTTTGGTAACCGTTTTCGTTGTTACCGTCGAGTTAATACCTACTACACGAGTGGTATATTTTATTACATACATCAACATCTACAACGCAGTCCATAATATGAACATATAAAAATGTTTTTCTCAGGAATTTTAGCTCAGGTTATTTAAGTGACATAAACTTGGAAGTTTTTTTTTGGTGTGGATTTTCTCCGGCCGGCTATCGGCTTGCCTTATCCATTATTAGATTTTAGAGCCGGCCGGAGTGGTCTGTTTAAAGATTAAGAACTGTTACAATAGAGTTTAATATTTGTTATAAACAGTATGTAGATGATGATGGCGATAAAATACAATAGTTGGACATGTGGTTTTTCTGACTAATGTAAATATTAGCTGTTCGTAATAAATTAAACACCGTAGATGAACACCTCTGCGATGTTTAAAGCTGTTTGTATTCTTCTTTTCAGTTTACCAAGAATGTTAAGCAAAAATGGCATACTTGAATCCAAAGTATTTATGTTACACATTTTGTCCGATAACTTCAGTTAAATAAATAGTGTTCCCTTAAACTTCGTTTTTTTCTTTACAGACCTAATCCTACTTGAGCAAATCTTGTGAATAACAGATTATTTTGCAAGAATAAAAATACTTAGAAAGAGAAAATTCATATGAAATTTACTTTAAATAAAATAAAAACTACAAAGGTAGTACAAAGCTGAAGATGAAGCAGTGTCAAATAT